TTCTCATGATGTGTTCAATGTATAGGTTAAAGTAACAGGGTGACAGCAGACAGCCCTGTCATACTCATTTCTCAATCCTGAACCAATCACTTGTTCCTTACCGGGTTCTAACTGTTGCTTCTTGACCTGTGTACAGATTTCTCATGACACAGGTAAGATGGTTTGGTATTCCCATGCTTTCCACAGTGTGTTATGATCCGCAGTTCAAGGCTTTAGTGTAGTTGATGAAACAGAGGTAGATGTTTTTCTGGAATTCCCTTGCTTTCTCTATGATCCAGTGAATGTTGGCAATTTGATCTCTGGTTCCTTTGCCTTTTCTAAACCCAGTTTGAACATCTGGAAGTTCTTGGTTCCCATGATGCTGAAACCTAGCAGGCACGATATTAAGTATGACCTTACTATCGTGGGAGATGAGTGCAATTGTCCAATGGTTAGAACATTCTTTAGTGCTAGCCTTCTTGGAAAATGGGATGAAGATTGACCTTTTCCAGTCCTGTGGCTATTGCTGGGTCTTCCAGATTTGCTGACATATTGAGTGCAACACTTTGATATCATCATCCTTTAGGGTTCTGAATAGCTCTACTAGAATTCCGTCGCATCCACAGCTTTATTAACAGCAGTGCTTCCTAAGGCCTGCTTGACCTCACACTCTAGAATATCTGGCTCTGGGTGACTGAGCACACCATCGTAGTTATCAGGTTCATTAAGATCTTTTTTGTATAGTTCTTCCGTGTATTCTTTTCATGTGTTCTTGATCTCTTCAGCATCTACTAGGTCGCTACCATTTCTGTCCTTTATTGTGCCTGTCTTTGGGCAAAATGTTCCCTTGATATTTCTGATTTTCCTGAGGAGATCGCTAGTCTTTCCCCTTCAGTTGTTTTCCTGTTATTTTTATGCACTGTTCATTGAAGAAGGCCTTCTTGTCTCTCCTTGTTATTCTTTGGAACTCTGTGTTTAATTGGATGTACCTTTCCCTTTCTCCCTTGCTTTTCACTTCTTTCTTCAACTGTTTGTTAAGCCTCCTCAGACAGCCTCTTTGCCTTCTTGCTTTTTTTCTCTTTGGGATGGTTTTGTTTGCTGCCTCCTGTGCAATATTATGGACCTCTGTCCATAGTCCTTCAGGCACACTGTTTCCTAGATCTGATCCCTTGAATCTATTTGTCACCTCCACTGCATATTCATAGGGGATTTGATTTAAGTCATACCTGGCTGGCCTAGTGGTTTTCCCTGCTCTCTTTAGTTTAAGCCTGAATTTTGCCGTGAGAAGCTGATGATCTGAGCCACAGACTATGCTTTGTTTCCTCTTTGACCCCCCCTCCTAAGTGTAGTGGAAATAAAAACAAAAATAAGCAAATGAGACCTAGTTAAACTTAAAAGCCCTCATAATGTTGACTGTCTAGGTTTTAATACACTGTCTAAGTTTGTCATAGATTTTCTTCCAAGGAGCAAGTGTCTTTTAGTTTCACTGTCCACAGTAATTTTGGAGCCCAAGCCACTTTTTCCCTTATCTATTTGCCATGAAGTGATGGGACCAGATTCTATGATCTTCTTTTTTTAAATGTTGAGTTTTAAGCCAGCTTTTGCACTCCTCTTTCACCTTCATGAAGAGGTGCTTTAGTTTCTCTTCGTTTTCTACCATTAAATTGATATCAACTGCATATCCGAGGTTGTTAATATTACTCCCAGCAATCTTGATTCCAGCTTATGAGTAGTCCAGCCTGGCATTTCGCATGATGTACTCTGCATATAAGTTAAATAAGCAAGGTGACAGTATACAGCCTTTACGTACTCCTTTCCCACTTTGGAACCAGACCGTTGGATCCAACTATTGCTTCTTGACCTATATGCAGGTTTCTCAGGAGGCAGGTAAGGTATTCCCATCTCTTGAAGAATTTTCCAGAGTTTGTTGTGATCCACACAGTCAAAGGCTTTAGTGTACTCAATAAAGCAGAAGTAGGTGCTCTTTGGAATTCTCTTGCTTTTTCTGTGAGCCACGAATGTTGAAAATTTGATCCCTGGTTCTTCTGTGTTTTCTAAATCCTGCTTGTACATCTGGAAGTTCTAGATTTGCATACTACTGAAGCCTAACTTGAAGGATGTTGAGCCTAATCTTGCTGACGTGTGAAAATGAATGCAATTGTATGGTAATTTGAACTTTCTTTGGCTTTGCCTTTCTTTGAGATTGGAATGAAACGGACCTTTTCCAATCCTGTGGCCACTGCTGAGTTTTCCAAATTTGCAAACATATTGAGTGCAGTACTTTAACAGCATCATCTTTTAGAATTTTAAATAGCTCAACTGGAATTCCATCACCTCCACTAGCTTTGTTGGTAGTTAATGCTTCCTAAGGCCCACTTGACTTCACACTCCAGGATGTTTGGCTCTAGGTGAGTGACCACACTATCATGATTATCCAGGTCACTAAGGCCTTTTTTGTACAATTCTTCTGTGTATTCTTGCCCCCTGTTCTTAATCTCTTCTGCTTTGTTAGGTCTTTGCCATTTCTGTTGTTTATTGTGCCCATCTTTCCAGGAAATGTTCCATTATTATCTCCAGTTTTCTTGAAGAGATCTCTAGTCTTTCCCATTCTATTATTTTCCTCTATTTCTTTGCATTGTTCACTTAAGAAGGCTTTCTTCTCTCTCCTTGCTATTCTCGGGAACTCTGCCTTCAGTTGGGTATATTTTTCCTATTCTCCTCTGCCTTTTGCCTCTCTTCTTTTCTCAGCTATTTGTAAGACCTCCTCAGACAACCACTTTGCCTTCTTGCATTTCTTTTTCTTGGGGATGGTTTTGGTCAACACCTCCTGTACAGTGTTACAAACCTCCATCCATCCTCCCCCACAGCGCACCGCCGCCCCGCCTCCGATCCCTTCAACCCCCGGCCAGCCTGGCGCCCCCACCCGAGGTTGCCCTGAGGAATTCCCGGCTGTTTGGGGGAGGGATCGAGGTGCTCGATGCCCCCCAGATGGAGTGCCCCAGCTGGATCCAACGCCCTTCCTCCTGAATTTGACCCTCCAGGAGGGAGACCGTGACTCCAAGAGTTCTTCAGGCACTCTGTTTATCAGATCTAATCTTTTGAATCTATTCATCACCTTCACTGTTTAATCATAAGGAATTTGATAAAGGTCATACCTGAACGGCCTAGTGGTTTTCCCTATTTTCTTCAACCTGAGCCTGAATTTTGAGTAAGGAGCTGATGATCCGAGCCATAGTCAGCTCCAGGTCTTGTTTTTGCTGACTGTACAGAGCTTCTCCATCTTCGGCTGCAAAGAGTATAATCAGTCTGACTTCGATATCGACCATCATCTGGTGATGTCCATGTGTAGAGTCGTCTCTTGTATTGTTGGAAGAGGGTGTTTGCTATGAGCAGTGCATTCTCTTTTCAAAACTCTGTTAACCGTTGCCCCGCTTCATTTTGTATTACAAGGCCAAACTTGCCTGTTACTCCACGTATCTCTTGGCTTCCTACTTTTGCATTCCAGTCCTCTATAATGAAAAGGACATTTTTTTTGGTGTTAGTTCTAGAAAATGCTGTAGATCTTCATAGAACTGCTCAACTTCAGCTTCTTTGGCGTTAGTGATTGGGGCATAGACTTGGATTACTGTGATGCTGAATATAAACACAATGAAAAGGCAAAAAGATATGACACCAGAAGATGAGCTCCCCAGGTTGGTAGATGTCCACTATGCTACTTGGGTAGAGCAGAGGAACAGGGTAGAGCAGAGGAACAGCTCTATAAAGAATGAAGGGGCTGGGCCAAAGTGGAAACAGCGCTAAGATGTGGATGGGTCTGGTGCTGAAAGTGAAGTCCAGTGCTGTAAAGAACAATATTGCATAGGAACTTGAAATGTTAGGTCCATGAATCAAGGTAAATTGGTCAAGCGGGAGACGGCAAGAGTGAACACTGACATTTTAGGAATCACTGAACTAAAATGAATAGGAATTGGCGAATTTAATTCAGATGACCATTATATCTACTACTAGGGGCAAGAATTCCTTAGAAGAAATGGATTACCCCCTCATAGTCAACAAAACAGTCTGAAATGCAGTACTTGGAGACAGTCTCAGAAACAACAGAATGATCTCTGTTCATCTCCAAGCAAACCACTCATTATTAGAGAACTGCAAATCAAAACAACGTTGAAGTATCAACTCACACCAGTCAGAATGGCCATCATCCAAAAATCTACAAACAATAAATGTTGGAAAGGATGTGGGAGAAAGGACTCCCTCTTTGGTGGGAAAATAAAATGATACAGCCACTATGGAGAACAAATGGAGGTTCCTTTAAAAATTAGGAATAAAACTGTCATATGACCCAGCAATCCCACTTGGGCATGTACCTTGAGAAAACCATAATTCAAAAAGACACATGTATCCCAGTTTTCATTGTAGCACTGTTTACAATAGCCAGGACATGGAAGCAACCTAGATGTCCATCAGTAGATGAATGGATAAAGAATTTGTGGTATATATATTTATACAATACAATATTATTCAGCTATAAAAAGGAGCAAAATTGAGTCAGTTGTAGTGAGATGGATGGACCTAGATTCTGTCATACAGAGTGAAGTAAGTCAGAAAGAGAAAAACAAATAGCATATATTGATGCATATATATGGACTTTAGAAAAATGGTACTGATGAGCCTATTTGCAGGGTAGGAATAGAGACGCAGATGTAGAGAACAGGCTCGTAGACCTGGGGGAAGGAGAGGGTGAGACGAATTGGGAGAGTAGCATTGACATATGTGCACTCCCACCTGTAAAACAGACAGCTGGTGGGAAACTGCTCTGTGACACAGGGAGCTCAGCTCGGCGCTCTGTGATGGCCTGGAGAAGTACAATTGTGAGGGCGGCAGGGAGGCGCAGGAGGGCAGGAATATATGTGTACTTACAGCTGATTCACGTTGTTGTACAGTAGAAACCGACACATTGCGGTAAAGTGATTAGCCTCCAATTAAAATAAATTTTTAAAATGTGCTGCTTTGTTTTATAGACAATTGTGATGAATGACTGTATTATCCGAGGTGATCTGGCAAATGTAAGAGTTGGACGTCATTGTGTTGTGAAAAGTCGGAGTGTCATAAGGCCACCGTTCAAGAAATTCAGCAAAGGGTATGTAGTTTGATCATTTGTTTCAGTCTTGGGCAAGACGCTGCTCCTGGTGGTGAAATCCATGTGTTGAGTCATGGGAGAAGGAGCAGGCCTGTACTTCTGTTTGAAACTTAGTGAGAACACATCATAATGAGCACAGTCGGTGGTGGTTGTCAGTCTAGTCGGCGGTTAGTTGACAGAGACAATCCACTTAAGCTGGCAAAAGCAGGGGCCGGGGGGGGGGGGCGGCGGGGTTTCTGATTAAACAGACACAGGCTTATTTGATGGAATTTCAGGGTAGAAAAAGGGGGCCAGGTTTCACAAGGGACTGGAACCTGGAGCTGGACAGCTCGCCAAAATCAAGACCACTATTCTGTCCGTCTGCTACTCTGCCACTGAGACAGTTTCTTATCTGTCCTCCTCTCTGTACTTTTTCTTCCCTCTTTTTTCTTCCTGCTGTATCTTCCCACTTTTCCACTTCCCACTGGAGCCAGCTTTGCTGCCTCAGCCTTTTAATTACATCACTTCTTCATTTAGGCTTCCAGCGGAAGATTTTAAATCAGAGATTTTAAATTGTCCTATTAACAAAATCTTGGTTAGAGTAAATCTGATTGGCTTAGTTTCAGTTAGGTGCCCACCCCTAGTCTACAAATAGCTTTGACCCAGAGGGTACGGTCAAGTCAGGCTGACTGATCTCTCAGTGGGAATAAGGATTGTCAAAGAAAAGTTGTGGACAGGGCAGGAAGACTGCCCACTACGCTTGATATGGTAGTGTTCCCTTTGCCTCCCTCTCTGTTGGCCCTCCTGGCTCCTACCCATGCACCATCTGCTTCCCATCCAATAATTCAACAATCATTTATTGAGTGTTTTCTTTATGCCAGTCACTAGGTTATAATCTGGGCATATAAAATATGGATAAAATGCAGTCTCAAAACCTAGTGTTAGAAATAAAATAAACAAGTGAATGTAACAAAAAAGGGAGATTCACAGATGTATAGAACAATCTAGTGGTTACCAGTGGGAGGTTGAGGGGTGAGATAGGGGATGGGGATTAAGTCCAGACTACTGCATATAAAATAAATAAGCAACAAGGATATATTATACAGCACAGGGAATATAGCTAATATTTTATAAACCTCTAAAATTGTGAGCTACTATGTTGTATGCCTGAAACTTACATAAAATTAGCTATACTTCAGTTAAAACAACAGCAATCACCACCACCTTGTGGTAAAAATGATTGAATAAACAGCTACTGTAGAATATAATGCTGCAACAGGATAGCCATTATGTACTGGGGTACTGCTGACCCTGGGGTATGAACATGGTTAGGGAGGACCAGAAGAGGGCAGTTAATTCAGACAATAATACTTGGATGTATATCATGCAGGAATCATCTGCATTTCTTATAGTGATGCTGGACTCCAGGATTTCATTACATACAAGAATTGGAGCAGGGAGTCATTGTATATCATATGAAATTCGAATGAAAACATTTGCTCATTGTTCAGAAGGTGCTATTGTTCAGAAGGGGAGCCAGGAAGCCTTTTCATGATTTCATACAGTAACTGATGCTCTGCTAGAATTGTTGACTCCGCCTCCTGATAAAGGCATTATTGGGCTGGATGTGGTCCAGGAAGAAGACTGAAAATGAACAGTCTTTTCAGTGAATGGAGGGATGTATAAATAAGAATAGTCCACATGTGGCAGTTTGGATGGGAGGGGAGTTTAAGGGAAGAATGGATACATGTATGTGTATGGCGGAGTCCCTTTGTTGTCCACCTGAAACTACCACAAAACTGTGAATTGGCTATATTCCAATATAAAATAAAAAGTTAAAAAGTAATCCTCATGAGAAATACAGAAATGTGAAAGTGTAAATAGCAACACATGGCATAGAAGGTGAATGTCGATTTCCTCCCCTGTATGTCTCAATATCAGAACCAGATGAGAGTAAAGAGTTTTGAATTTTCAGTTTAAAATTGAAGAGTTGACAGCCTACTATAGACTATGATAAAATTAAGGAATCCATTGTTACCCAAGAGGTCTAAACTAAAAATGCAAATAAATTAAGGAAGATTTAAATAAGTTATACGTGTATGGAAGACAGGTATCATCTCTGATAAAATATTCCTGACAAAATAGAACACAGGACTGGAAAGAGCCAGTGAGTATCCAGCTGATTTGTACTAGTTCTAGTCCAAATATTTTACATCCCAAGTACTGAAATTTCTTGGAAGTATGATCTTAGACCATTGTCAGTTACATTTGAGGAGTCTTGGAGAATGGGAATGATGTCACAAGTCTAGAGAAACCCCACTAACTCCTTAAGTCTTGGCTTAAATGTCACTTTCAATTAAGCTTTTACCAAACCTCCACTCTGAATAAAGTCTCTTTGTCATGCCCTCATGATGTGTTATTTTTCCTCTGTAGTGCTTATCACAGTTATAACTAATTACTTATTTTAATCATTTATTTAATCTCTGTTCTGATTGTAATCTCTTCATGGACAGGATCATGTCCCTTTTGCTCATCATTGTATTCCCCAGTTCCTAGCATAGAGTCAGGCATATAGTAGACACCCAGTAAAACCAGACAATATATAAATTTTCAGCATGTTGGGAATTATATCCATGAACCTTACCTCAGACCCCTGAAGCATTATAGAGCAGATTAATGAAAATGTGATCTGTGGGCATTTTCAGAGGCAGCTGGAATGAGCAAAACGTTCATTTGTTTTTATTTGATGCTCGCTTTTCTAACTTTGAAGGTCTTGCCCTTGCTCTTTTGCTATTTCCTTGCACATTTCTGTAGTCTGTTATTTCTGATCTCGACTTAGTAGTCACATGCATCTTCTTCAGTGTTACAGAATTCCTCAAATGTGAGGATTCTTTCCTTGCTAGGAGCAGTTGCACTAAGACAAGATGGAGTTGCAGTTATGATCTTCAGTTCTGTAAACCTTGACCAGAAGCACATCACCTTGACTGTTCTTTGTTCTTTTCTTTTTCTTCCATAGCGTTGCGTTTTTCCCTTTACATATTGGGGACCACGTCTTTATTGAGGAAGATTGTGTGGTCAACGCAGCTCAGATTGGCTCTTACGTTCACGTTGGCAAGAATTGTGTGATTGTGAGTATGCTGACTTGGCTGGCTGAGCAGCCTCACTCCCCTTTGAGCTCTTGTCCCTCCCATCAGTGGGCCTTTGCTTCTGTCATCAAGCAGGGTAGAAGTTTTTTCTGGTCTACTAGTTTACCAGAATTGTTATTAAATTTGGAATTCTTCCTAGGCATTAGTAATCATGGCTAACCTTTATGGAATCTTTTCTATATGATGTTAAACTCTTTCCTTTGATTATTTCATTTAATCCTCACAGCCATCCAACAATGATAGACTGTAATTATCCCTATTTTCAGGTGAGGAGACTGAAGACCTTTGATATTAGGGGATTTGACAAGGCTAGTGAATGCTAGAGTTTGAATTTGAACCCTAGTGGTATGAATAGGCATGCCACTATGTGGCCTACCTGTCACCTCACCTTAAGAATCTTACAGTCTAGTGGGATGAGGGGATCTTGAAGGGTGAAGCAAAATTGGCTCATAGACAAGAGGAGAGAGTATTTCAGGGGAGAGATTGGTATGTGTAAGGGTCACACTCACCAAAGGACATGACAATAAAGGAGCTGCACGTAGTTCAAGATGCTGGACCTGCCAGGTGCTCGTGAGCCCCTCACTCAGCAGAACTTGTAGGACACAGATCCACAGGTGCCACGGCATTAATTTGTTAATGCCAAACATTAACCCAGCTAAAGCTTCCCAAGGCTGAATTTCTTGATATTTCTTAGATGAAGAGGTTGATTTCAGTTAGGATTTCTGAGTCCATCCTGAGTGAGAATGATCAGAGCCAAACTCCCTAAATTTTCAGGGAAAATATTTCCTACATTTTATATTTGTCCCTCAGATTCTGGGAAAAGCCAAGACCCCTTTCTTGTTTTTAAATGGCTGCTCCTGTTAACACAGAGTCAGCTATCTGCTCTGGATAAGACTCAGACCCTGAAGTATCAGAAAATCTGCAGAAACCATGCAGTCACTTTCCAGGAGCCATGAGGCTACAGCAAAGATGGACAGTGCGGAGAATCACATTGCTAAGAAAAACATTCCAATCTGACTTGTTACTCAGAATTAAGGGGAGCAGTTGTTTTGCCAAATATTCTCTGGAGGAGTACCTTAATATGTATTAGAGACAGAATGTCTTTGGTTCAGCCTGATGTTGAGGAGAGGGAGAAGATGGTGAAATCCATCCTCTTTCCTCACTAACTGCTTGATTAGAGCAGGCTTTCGAAGCCACAGCTGATTTTTTCTGATATTCCCCTCAGTAATGTGAAGACATCAGCATAGTAGCCTAGTCCTTTAGGTCCAGAGCCAGATGTCTGAATTGTTAATAACGAAATGCTATTCCCAATGCTTAGGAAATTCTAGTCCTATTGATCAGCGGTCTGCTTTTTGTATCACTTTTCAGTGCATCAGCTCCCGGTATTGTCATTGTTCGGTACTGGCTGTACTTATTTGCTGAGCCTTTACAAATTCTGAGGAGAAAGATGCTTTGAGAATCTCAAAGCTAGTAGGAACTCTTTAGAGCTGTCCCCAGACACACGGATCCTTCCTGTAGCATCTCATGTAGTACTGTAACTTATGCTTGGATATGGGAAGGTATGAGTGTTAATCAGAATTGCCCAGAAGTCTTCAGGAAAAGCCTAACAGGCATTACGAAACAACATCATGCCTTGAGGTTTACATTTATCTTTAGTCTTAATAGCATCCCGGCAGGCTTGGTTTTACATGCTGTTTCACAGGATGGAAGAAATTTGCTAAATAACTTGGATAAACAGATATGGGATTTTCTTTGTAGTCCAGTGGCTAAGACTCCATGCTCCCAATTCAGGGGGCATGAATTTGATCCCTGGTCGGAAAACTAAAGTCCCACATGCCATGCGGTGCAACCAAAAAAAAGAAAAAAAGGAAGAAAAAAGAAAACAGCAAAAAAAAGGAGATAAGGGTAGCTGTAATGCCAGCAACATGTAGTTCTTAACTCCTTCTTGAAAAGTTCTCCAGGAAGGAATAAAGAAGCAGTTACAGCTCTTTACCTCCTCAGCTATTGCCAACTCATTCATGCCTAAGAAGTACCTGCATTTATTATTTTGCTGCTGTGGAATTGATTGATGTACCCAGATTTCTCTGAAACTCAGATGAGCACATTTCTCTGAGTGGGCAGAATGGCTAACTAGACAAGCAGGTGCCCTCGGGCTGTTTGGTAACCGGGGTGCACAGTGGGAAAGCTCATTTCCACTGCTCTTCTTTTCCAGGGCCCTTTGTCTGTGGACCCCTGTCTGTGAGTGTGTCCTGCCATATGCAGCACCTTGTTTCCTTTTCTCAGTGCCCCACGTGCTTGGTCTGAGTTTTTAGGAGCCTCTGCATCTTAGGGAATCTTTGAGTTAATTTGGGAGTCACCAGGGGAGCTGGCCATCTGCTCCATTTTTTATATTGCCAATAACAGGTGATTCATGGAAGAGAGTTTTCCAAGGAGAAGTGAAGATATGCAGTCATAACTTGCTTCTGACCTAAAGATGTTGCCCAACTTGGCTATTATCCACCCAGCTGGAGACAACTTAGTTAGCCCCTGAAGAAATTCAGATCTTAAAGGTATAAACTTTTTAAAAAATTCATTTGGCAATCTACCCAGGAGCTCTTGGACATACATACAATTTAGGTATTTAATATTGGGGGAAAATTTGAACACAACGAAATCAAAGTATGTTTCCTATTCTTTGGTAAAGTCTGAGGTCTAGATGGATTAGCATTATCTTGGTATTTGTTATGTGTTCCACATCCTCAGCCCAGTATGTTTTATCTGATACTCTGACCAGAACACAAGTGAACTATAGGCTTGGATGATGTAAATGCAACTGGTAAAGACCAAGACTTTCATTTACTCAGCAAGTCGTCTGAGACACGTTGTTGTTCAGTTGCCAAGTTGTGTCTGACTCTTCCCAACAGTGTGGACTGCAGTACGCCAGGCTTCCCTGTCCCTCACCATCTGAGTTTGCCCAAGTTCATATCCACTGAATCAGTGATGCCATCCAACAATCTCATTGTCTGTCACCCTCTTCTCTTTCTGCCTTCAATCTTACCCAGCATCAGGGTCTTTTCCAGTGAGTCAGCTGTTCACATCAGGTGGCTGAAATATTGGAACTTCAGCTTCAGCATCAGTCCTTCCAGTGAATATTCAGGATTGATTTCCTTTAAGATTGACTGGTTTGATCTCCTTGCTTTCCAAGGGACTCTCAAGAGTCTTCTCTAGCACCACAGTTCGAAAGCATCAATTCTTCGGCTCTCTGCCTTTATTGTCCAGCTCTCACATCTGTACATGCCTGCTGTACAGACCATAGCCTTGACTATATGGACCTTTGTCAGCAAAGTGATGTCTTTGCTTTTTAAACACACTGTCTAGGTTTGTTATAGCTTTGCTGCCAAGAAGCAGTCTTTTTCTAATTTCATGGCTGCAGTCACCAACCATATGATTTTAGAGCCCAAGAAGAGGAAATCTGTCACTGCTTCCACCTTTTCCCCTTCTGTTTGCCATGAAGTATTGGGACCAGATGCCATGATCTTAGTTTTTTATTTTTGGGTTTTAGGCTGTGTTTTTCACTCTCCTCCTTCACCCTCATCAAGAGGCTCTTTAGTTCCTCTTCGCTTTCTGCCATTAGAGTGGTATCATCTGCATATCTGGTTTTTCTTGCTAAGGGAGATGTCAGGCGGACGGCATCTGAGATATAGCTTTATTTTATTTTGTTTTATTTTATTTTATTTTTTTGAGATACAGCTTTAACCATATACAGAAGAGTCTCCTTTTCCCTAAGTCATGAAACACATGACTCTCCCAAACCTTATTTCTTGCCCCCAAAATGCTGTGGGTGTTGGCAGAATTGAATGACTACCTAATAACTACCATTTACCCATGGCAGAATAAGTGAACTGTTAACTTCATATCCAGAAGAATTTCCCAAGACTTGTCCAGTTGGAGTTTACAGAAGAACAAACAGAGGCTTCCCTGGTGGTGCAGTGGTAAAGAATCCACCTGCCAATGCAGGAGACACTGATTCGTTCCCTGGTCTGGGAAGATCCCACATGTTGCAGGGCAGCTAAACCCACGGATCACAACTACTGAACCTGTGCTCTAGAGTCATGAGCTGCAGCTATTGAAGCCCATGTACCTAGAGCCCTTGCTCCACAACACAAGAGAACCCACTGCGATAAGAAGCCCATGCACCGCAACTAGAGAAAGCCCACACACAGCAACAAAGAGCCAGTGCAGAAAAAAATAAATGAGTAAATAAATAAATCTTAAAAAAAAGAAGAGTATAATAATAATAATAAACCTTTAAAAAAAAGAGAAAAACAACAGACCTTAAACTGGTACGTGCAAAACAAACGTACTGGCTAATATGAACCAGGGTCACAGAAGTAGATCCTAATTTCATACACAAATGGCTCCAATTGACATCTCAGTTGATGTCACGTGAATTAATCTCCTTCCTGTTTTTGTTTTCCTCTGGAAGCCTCTCAGACAGGTCCTTTCGTGGTGGAAACCAGTGGCTGGTCCAAGATTCTGTCCTATCCTCTAGAATCCTTACTGGAAAGAGCTTCTTTTCCCAGTAGTCCCAGCAGAAGCCCTGACGTTGAGGTTCATCACAGTTCATACACTGATTCCCTAAACCAATGGCTGTGGCCAGGCTTGAGGTTTAGAGTTTGAATGAGAGATGAAGCATATGAACTGAGATAGGGATGGGGTGGTATCCAACGAAAATATAAGTTCTGTTACAAGAAGAAAGGGAAATGGATGTCGGACAAGGACAACAACAGATATCCACTAAGTAAAAGCAAAGAAAATTAAACAGAATTCTTGAAGATCAAATTTCATATAGTCTGAAATGCCTAAGATAGCCTGAACTGTCCCTAGTGTACAACCCCCACTTCAAATTTAAATATACACACACATCTCTCACACACACACACACGTTTCTACCTCATGCTGGTCAGGTCCCACCTGCAGCAGGGAATTGTGGCCAACCCTTTTGTCCCTGACCATGATGATTATAGGCGTCCCTGGTGGCTCAGACAGTAAACAAATCTGCCTGCGATGCAGAAGACCTGGGTTCGATCCCCGGGTTGGAAAGAGCCCCTGGAGAAGGGAACGGCAGCCTACTCCAGTATTCTCTCCTGGAGAGGTCTGTGGATAGAGGAAGCTGATGGGCTATAGTCCATGGGGTTGCAAAGAGTCAGACATGACTTGGAAACTAAACAACAGTAACACAGCAGACAAGACAACTTTTACTCCAATTTCCTGGTCTGTTTCCTATTAACAAGATTTTAATTCCAGGGGCGCCGGTGTGTGTTGAAAGACTGTTGCAAAATTCTCGACAACACAGTATTACCCCCAGAAACTGTGGTCCCACCGTTCACCATCTTCTCAGGCTGCCCAGGTAACCTGTGGGTGTTAATTATTAAAACTCAAGTTTATTTTCTCTCACAAAAGTCATGCATGCATTTTCTGTCTCTTAACAGTATGTTAGTCTAGCTAACTGAAATAGTCTCCTGATACAGAATACCTAGAAATGCTATTCCAAATATAACTTGTATCTTTTTACATGCATAATTGGATTCATAAGGAAATTACTAAGGATCAGAAGCAAAGTGTAAACTAAATCCAGACTTTCAAGGATGCTTCGGTGATGCCATCTCTATAGTAGTATGGTTTAGGCTTTGATGCTCATTTGGGATGAGAGATAAAGCCTCAGATCCACACAGGGCAACAAGATCCTCTTGAGGGGCTTTCCCTCAGTTAAAAAGTTGATGTAGGTTGAATCTGCCCCCAGCACTGGAAACGTACAAAGAAGAGTGTCTCTCTTGGCCTGGGCTCTGGGTGGAAAAAGAAAGTCTCTCCAGATTATGGCCTTACCCTCACAGTGGTTGGAGGTTTGAACTTGTACTTCCTGCCTGCTCAGAAATGCCCTAACTGAAAAATTACCATAAAACATGGCCAAAAACCAGTGAGAGCTCTGGGATACCTGAGAAAAGCAAATATATTATCATTTGACCTTGGCTGATGAAATACCCACAGGCAAAGTCCTTATGAGCCCAAGAGATGCAGATTACAAATGTGGGGAGACAGAAGCAATCCATGCTCATTGTAGAAAGCTTGGAAAACACCAAAAAGCAAAAGGAAAAGGAACACCTCACATTCCCCCACCCCAACCTCAAGACAGTCTCTTTTCTTCTACCTGTTGTTTTACTCAGTGGAAACCTCATAGAACATACAGAGGTACATGACAGATTCACAGATGGAAGATGATAATGAAGAGAGAGATTTGACAGTATATGGTATCTAACCACTGGGTGGTTTAATTGTTTTTCCAATATAAAAAAAAATCTCATTACTCAGATCATTGAATATGAATTTCAAAAAGATACAAAAACCATCCACTAAGATTCTTTGGGGAGGAAATGAGCCATTCTGCACTTTGATGCATCTCTGCATTTGCAGAGGAGGAAGAGACTCATTTAGTAATTCTCCCGTACTAAGTTCCCACTGTGAGACAGTTTAACAGCTCTTAGCAAGCGCTAGATCAGAACAGCCTTAATTGTTTTAAGTGGTTGTGAGACAGGCGTCTGATCTGAGGTGAGAAGTATGTTGTTGGAGAAATAGTTTAATCTCTTTTAACTTATTCAAGGCCCTTAGAACCAACTTATGATGTTTGAGCACTGATGGCAGATTGCAGGGAAGCATTTCTAGGTATTTGAAATCCCAGTAAATTCTGTGTGTGGAGGTTCTGCCTGGGATCTTAGAGATCATTGTGTAGGTGCGGAAACTGAGGCCTGGAGAGGTTGAATTGTCCAGGGTGTCAGTGCTGGTTAGGGGGGATGCTTTAACAAACACTTAAGACTCCTTATTTATTTATTTATTTTTATTTGGCTATTCAGCTTATATAATCTCAGTTCCCCAACCAGGCACTGAACCTGGACCAGGGCAGTGAAAGCAGCAAATCCGTTAGACCACCACGGAGCTCCCAAGACTCTTTATATTTAGAGTTATGTACTTTTTGCACTAGCAGGGTACTTCTCATGTTTATTTGTGTAGTTTCACAAACAAATGCTAACCATCTAGATACTACTGTTGACAACTACCCTCTTTAATCAAGAGGCGTGGGGTGACAGGAAAACTAGCATATTTTTGGAAGGCTCCCAGAATGAAAGGCAAGGCATTCAGAAAGATTCTGAGTTAGGAACCAAAAACTCAGATGCCCACAGGAGCCAGACAAAATATGTAAATGGTTGAAGTAATCATCTATCATAGATGTTTAAGAATACAGGCATGATATTATGTGAACTTCTGTTGTTTCATGAGGAGCTAAAAATCTGAATTTTTATGTGATATTTCTGAATTTTTAATTGTTGAGTACAAGTTTTTTTTAGTAGATTAAATACTATACAGATTCAATATATAGTTGTAAAAGGTGCCTGGGAGAGTTGTGTATTTTTTTAAGACCATTTTTTCATTCCTGGTTTCTCTCTGTGTGTATGCAAGAGTATATGTGTTTTTGTGTGTTTATGTATGTGTGTGTATTTGTGTATATAATATGAAACTGATTTTATATATGTAGATAGAATCACACTCTCTATTCTGTTAGGAAACTTGCTTCCTTAGTATATCTTGTGCATCTTTTCTTGTCAGTATGTAGCAATTTACCTCATTCCTTTTAATGGCTACAGGGTTTGCATTGCATAAATATCCCATGGTATAACTAATCATCCTCTGGTATAGTGGATCAGAAAAAGTTATACTTGGTTTTTCATAATTACAGACTTTGCTGCATTAATGTTTTTGTATCTATATTGTGCAATTGGGCAAGATTATTTGTGGAATAAATTCTTAAAAGTTGGATTATCAGGTCACAGGGTATGCACTTTTAAGTTATGCTAGTTATTCCTACATTGCTCTTCAAACATCTGTGTGAGTTTATACTAATACTATACTGTGTGAGTGCCTCTTTCCTGGAAATTCTTCGAAAAGTTTCCCCCATCTTTTGTCTATTTGGGCATTTCTGTTCTACTCCCATCTATGATTAAATATATGTCGCTGCTCAGGCCTTGGATTCAGTTTCATTGTGTGAATAGCAGGGCAGTTTCCCTGCTGAAGAGCACTTACCTTGGCTTGCCCTACAGGCATCACCCAGCATCCAGGGTACAGATGAGTCCTTGCCTGGAGCAGCCTCTGAGGCAGTCACATTGCCTTAACTCTTCAGTGATGTACTAACTTCTTTTACTTGGAATATATTTCTGCATTTTGAGAATAGTATTACGCCCCCCACACACAGATTCATAGTATCTTGAATATATGGTCAGTAAATATTCTGTTAGCACCAAAGATGGAAAACCTAGTATTTAGACATTTGCAGCTAAAGAAAGAAGGCTTCTAGAGGTTTCAGCAGAAGTCAGAGCTGCCTGTGGGCCTCCTCTGGCTCCTTTCGGTTGACCAGGTCTTTCTTTCCCCAGGACTCTTCTCAGGGGAGCTCCCAGAATGTACCCAGGAGCTGATGATTGACGTCACCAAGAGCTACTACCAGAAGTTTTTGCCCTTGACACAGGTCTAATGTCTGCCTTGTGTCTCGAATTCGCTTGAGCTCTAAGATGAACTTGGGGACAAAGTGCGCCAGACAGCATCTACAAAGAACTCTTGTGTCTTTGACACCTCCCACCCTCTTTTTTATTTCTTTTTTTTTTGGTTTCGTTCTTTAGAATTTCTCAATCCTCCCAGGCTCTAAGCTCTTAAGACTTTAATAACAGAATGACTGGAGGGTTGTCTCCAGATGCTGTGCTTAAACTGTATCTAGTCACTGTCACTCTGTACCATGATGTGGGGAGCACAGTCTCATCTGTTCCCAGCACTCCTACCCCTTGGCCCTGCAGACAGCCGGATGGAGCAGGGCACTCTGCCCCAGCAGGGAAGTTGCGTGTGGCCCGTGGCCATGAGCTGCCACAGTGAGCACCACTCGCAGGGGTCCCTGTTGGCGTCCCTGCTGCTCATGCAGTTAGCCAGTTGCCACAGCTGCTTGTCATCTGCAAAAAAACTGTTTGCCAATTTTCAGAGCCCAGATTCCTGTTGGCTACTAAAACTTGAAGGGAGGGTGGTTAGTATTTCTCTTCTTTCCAAAATAACCTGATCATCTTAATTCAGGGTGAATAATTAAAGACTCATTAGCATTCTATTCTAGGGCATTGGCTTTTACTAAAAGCTTAGTGCAAGCATCCAGAAAGCATCCCTTAGCATCCAGATTTTATTTTTGCGAAGAACCAGGTTTAAGTCTCCCATGTGGATGGACTAGACTGGCAGCCACTCCTTGTCTCATGGTATTTAGGGACAGCAGTGTATGCCTTATTTCACTGGAGATGTAGCATTTGTGACTCTTGCTCCCTGGCCTGGAACCATTCAAACAACACTACGTTTGCCATAAACCTCACAGTTCAGACTAAAATATCTATGCTTGGGCCCAATCTCATGTGTACATGGGGGCCTCTTAAAATCATTCTGGGGGCATGGAGCCCTGAGGAGTAGACAAAGTTGCCAGTGCTGTTCTTATCTTCTGGGCAATAGCACAGCCCTTCCTGTTCTCTAGTAGGAACACTTAGAAGTGAAGGCCTGAAAAGGTTGGCCTTGCTTGATGCTCTCGTGCTGCTGTGAATGGGGTAGGACAGTTCAGCCTCAAAGGTTAGAATCTAGCAGCAACTGTCTTGATTTAACATCTGGTCTGGGGTTTGCAAAAAGAACTGTATGTAGTCATCTTCGCTAGTTCAATGTAAAACTGCTTTCTGGTTTATTATTTTTTATGTTTGCACATTAAAGGCGTAACACATGAAACAAGTCACTTGAAGATGATCACTGTCCACCTCCAGCAATGGCGACCTGTCTTCCTTGGGCACCTCACTGTGTTCCCAGTGTCCTCCTACAGGCTTTGTAGTCACTTGCCTACTTAGAGCTCACACCAGCCCTATAAGCTGGATGTTGTCGCCACTTTACTGGTAAGGATAAAAACGCAAATATGTTAGATAACTTGGTCTAACGGGCATGGTGAAGGAGTCACACTCAAGTGCTTGGCTCCGCAGCCCACGCTCTTCAGCTCTGCCCCCACTGCATCCAGTCCCATGCCAGCAGTCTGATGGTTGCAGCTGTTTGGGGAGTCATATACCCCAGCTTCCTTCTCTTTTTGGACCACCAACAAGGAGGCTCTCGGAGTTGGCAAAGCTTAGATGTGCCCTTGGCTAACCTCTTGCTCCCTAGAGAAATCTTCCAGGCTGTGTCCGATAGATTCCCTTCCAGCCTGTGTTTGAATACCTCCAAAAGTTAGTCACTTGATGTGACTAACTGTCTGTTTTCTTCTTTTATTTACTTATTTTATAATTGATGTGATTTTTTGACTATCCATTTTGTTGATGAACAACAAAAATTAAGAGAAAGTGGGGTGTTTATTTTCCTGAACCTTTTAAAAATCTTTAGGTAATTTCAGCTGTTGTTGCTAAGTCATGTCCAACTCTTTTGCAGCCCCATGGACTGCCCCACCAGGCTCCTCCTGTCCATGGGATTTCTTAGGCAAGAACACTGGAGGGGGTTACCAATTCCTTCTTCAACGGACCTTCCTTCTCTTCCTGACCCAGGGATCGAACCCACGTCTCCTGCACTGCAGGTGGATTCCTTACTGCTGAGCCACTAGGGAAGCCCAAGTAATTTGAGTGCACAATTCCAAAAGTCCTATCCAGTTACTAAAGGAAGGACGCACAACATAATGGATTTTGCCAATCCAGAATCCAGTCCTATGCCCCTTCCCATGGGCAACCACTCAGAATAATTTTCAATCTGTCATACTGTTAGTCTGTTCTTGACATGGACAGATACACACGTACACACTAGCCTCTGTAGTCATATGGATGTGCTATCCCACATCTTTCTCCTTTTATTTAACAATATATCTTAGAGGTTGTTCCATTTTGGCACATACAGGTGATAAAAATAGCAATTGTTAACATATATGTTATTTACCATGTACCAGGTACTCTTCTGAGTTCTTTTTTTTTTTTTGGCTTTGTGGGGTCTTAATTGCAGCACGCATGCGGGATCTTCGGTCTTCATTGAAGCATGTGTGGTTTTTAGTTGCGGCATGTGAACTCTCAGTTGTGGCATGTGGGATCTAGTATTTCCCTGACCAGGGATTGAACTGAGGCACCGTGCATTGGAAGCTTGGAGTCTTAGCCACTGGACCACCGAGGAAATCTCCCTCTTTTGAGTTCTTTACCTTTATTGATGCCTTTAATCCTCACAGTATATATGAGATAGGTCCAGTTTTTCTCCCTAAGGAGCAGAGATAAATTGTCCAAGTTTCTACATCTACAATGGTGAATTTAGGCATTCTGACCCTAGAGCTCAGACTTTTAATCATTATGCAGGAATCCTTCCATGTTCTAATACCTTTTGTAAGTGAAAGTGAAAATCGCTCAGTTGTGTCCAGCTCTTTGCAACCCCATGGACTATACAGTCCGTGGAATTCTCCAGGCCAGAATACTAGAGTGGATAGCCTTTCCCTTCTCCAGGGGATCGTCCCAACCCAGGGATTGAACCCAGGTCTCCCACATTCCAGGCAGATTCTTTACCAGCTGAGCCACAAGGGAAGCCCAAGAATACTGGGGTGGGTAGCCTATCCCTTCTCCAGTGGACCTTCCTGACCCAGGAATCAAACCAGGGTCTCCTGCACTGCAGGTGGATTCTTTACCAACTGAGCTATCAGGGAAGCCCAGTACCTTTCATTGCCCCAGATGGAATCATTTGGCCAGGCTTTGCTGCACAGGACGCATTTCAGGCAGGCACAGAAAAGAGGATTGGGACTGGGTATTGTTGACCCATCTGGCAGTGTCTGCCACAGGCAGGAAGCCTAGTGCCCCCTCTGAGAAGATGGTCTCCTGGCTCTGGGCCCTGTTGTAGCTACAACTGTGTTCTGACTAGTTAAATGGGAGCTGGTTTCTTGCAAGAATTGTCCTGCTTGCAGCCTTTAAATAGTGTCTTACAGTTCTGTAGCATAAGTTAGCAAGCTGTAAAAGAATATACAAACTAGATTAGACAAAAATCTAATTTGAACGCTTTGTTGCAAGTGGCAGAAATCCAGCTTGAACCAATTTAAGCAAAAAAAGGAGTTTTATTGGCTTACACAACAAATTATGGAAAGGACTAGCTTAAGAAGCAATGCAGTGTGAACCCTGGGTGAGTTACTTAATCTCTCTGTGCCTTCACATCATAGGCTGTACAATGGGGATCATAGGATGTAACAGTGGGGACCCATAGAGTTGGAATGGATTAACTGAGGTTTTTACTACCTCATTATAATGGATTAACTATAGCATTTACTATATGTAAACAGTAGGGGCAATTCCTGGTACTTAGAAGCACTCTGTAAGTGATAAGCTATCATTGTAGGGACAACCCTATCCAGAGATACAGGGCACTTTGCTTTTGTATCTTTTTCATCTTTACATTAGTAGATATATAGACTGCACTGTGATAACAAAGAAACCATCAAAATACAGAAGACTATATGAATATGAGAGAGAAGGTAATTCCACTGACCTAACAGTGCAGGGATAGGCAAGCGGTCTAGCGGAGGTAGGTGGCTGGGCTCCACAATGTCATCAGGCACCCCGGCTCCAACTGTCTTGTCACATGACCACATGTAACTGCAGAGGAGGCTGTAAATTTAGTGTCTAGCTGGGCAGCCAAAACTCGGAGGAAAAAGGTTCCAGTAGTAGGAAGGAGAGGGAGAGAGTGGGCCTTGAGAGTCAGCACCAGGCTCTACAGGCCTGTATGTTGGTTTCTGTTCTCCTGCTGCACATGGTCTTCCTCCCTGCATTAGGGCATGTGGCAGCTGACAGCCCCAGACTTGCATCCTCCCAGCTTGGTGGCCCTGAAAGAAAGGTTTCTTTCCTCCAGTTCTAATTTGGACAATTCCAAAGAAAGTTTCTCATTGGGCTCTCGTGAGCCCCCTGTGGCCAAGGGTGTATGGCCCTATAATTAACCCCATCTGGGTCATGACCTCCCCCGCCCCCACCACTGTCCTCACCATTACAGAGAAACAGCAAAGCCTATTTCCAAAACAAGGTGCTGGCAAGACAAAACACTAGCTACCATAAATAGTAAGCGAGTTTTTAATTATGGACTGATACTGCTTGAAAGGTGTTGACAGTCGTGTGTGTCCTAGGAAAAGCCAGCTGGACTCTGTCTCCATGGTGGCTCTCACCCCAGGGAAAATCTGTCACTAGACAATTACTTTTTTAACCCCAGAGAAAAAAGTCTGTTTGTCCTCAGAATACTCCCAGAAGAGCGAGCAGGTAGAAGAGTCCTGGGTTGGGACGCTTTGCATTTGGCTTAGGGCAGAGAGGGGATTATCGGCTCATTTAGCTGATGAGGCCAAGTCTAGAGCTACCATCCAGCTGGATCCGAGGGCTCAGAACTCACCGGGTCATCAGGGACCTGACTCTCTTCAGCTCTTGACTCTGCTTTCCTTTGAGTTGGCTTCACTCTCCAGGCTTCACAATGTGACCCTGCAGCTCCAGTTATTGGTAGAAAGAGCTCTCCTCCTCCAATAAGCCCATGGACCTGACTATCACTGATCCAGGATGGAAGTGTCCAGCTGCAAGTAACCACTGTGGCCAGGAAGATGGAATTCACTGATTGGCCGGGCCTGGGGCACGTACCCACAGGGATTGGGAGCTGGTGCCTGCTGGCTGTATTTTACCAGAACAGGAGATGAATGGGTGCTGGGCAGGAAAGATTCTCAGGTGTCTAGTTCAGACCTTTTCCCCTTCTCCAGATTTCTTTCTTGCCCAGCCTTACCTCCTGTCCAATCTCTCATTACTCTTGGTCTTGGGGAGTACCTCCTGAGGGGTGTCTGGGCCTGAACTGGGGGCACAGCTGCCTAGCCAAAGTGGAGTGTTCAAGAAAGAGCCATTTGGAAGACGTTGCTCTGCCTGGAGGGGCTTCCCAGGTGGCTCAGTGGTAAAGAATCCGCCTGCCAATGCACGAGATGCGGGTTTGATCTCTGGGTCAGGAAGATCCCCTAGAGGAGGAAATGACAACTCACTCCAGTGTTCTTGCCTGGAAAACCCCACGGACAGAGGAGCCTGG